TCATACTGTCATAGCCCATAGATGAGGTTTGAGATTTTTAAACTTCACTATTTTGGTTATTAAAAATATAATATTTTTGCTACTAACTGTAGTTGTCATCAGCATTTCGTAGACTATTATCAAAAAACATATTATGATAAGAGGAATACCAACATTACGTACATTAAGTTGCCTATACATGACATTTGAAGGTCGATTTCTATAGTGCATACTGTATATACCATTGAGTTACTCAATAATGGTATATCTGTATATTTTAATATTTTCATTCCAACTAAATTTTACTTTTCCATTCTCATTATCCGAGACCGATTACTTACAAGKCAACCGCCATGGAATATGGTGATGTCCAAGTGTCTAATAATCCGGTTCTTGTAGGAAATCTATTCCATTATTCTTTCTGCAGAATGAAAACGAGAATAACGAAATGAATAAATATAAAATTATAAAAATTATATGGGCACAACAAAAAAATGTGAGTATAAATACATATTATTTGCATTATTTTATACYATCTAATAATTAATAAGGAAGTACGATTTATGAGTACTTCACAATTAGTTATATATTTATATAGTAATATCCATTTGTTTGTATAAGCATTAAAACAATGCACAATGTTGGTTATTTTTCGTGTAGATATTATAACGGTAACATTTGTACCTACCTATTCATTTTACATTTGTTAAATCCAAGTCTTAAATCCAAAATATCTATGTAAGTGCACTCGCCCTGGGACTATCACTATAATATGTAATAATATACTCCCATATTAACATAATTAGKGTATTAATATTAAGATTTAAAAATGCAGGTACTTGCATATGAATAGTAATAATATTGCAGATGCCCCTTCTGCCTGTACTTCTATTTATGACATAAAAACCAACAACCATTCGCAATTATTTATTGAGCACGAAATCACAATATGAGTAAGTACCATACAGCCACTCACCATCATGACGCCGTGACGTCTCTTGTTTGTTTATCACATTGTTATTATTTACACATAAATTATTTTACTTAACTCACCTTTATATGAAATATAATCTGACGATATATCGATAAACGACCCGACACCTATAGGTGGTATGATATTTTATTTAGGTGTGAAAACGCATTTCGTGTAAACAATATTATAATTGTATTTACTTATATACCTGACTAACTACTATAATATAGTATGTGTGAACGTATAGATAGCATGACAAATCGTCGAATAAAATTTGTATTTACTTGTAAGTTGTAATACTGTAGAGTGGATATTATTTTTTTTTAATCCATTTAAAATTTTTATGACGTAATGCTACGGATAACGGATATTCGAAGTAAAAATTTGTTTCTGCGAAATAATAAAAATCGGATTCTATAACATCGTTTCGGTATATTATCATTCAACAACTGAAAAAACGCGGGTAACGTAGTGAAAATAGTACAGAAAAGACGTTCTGATACCAACGTCCAACACATAATATACCTATATAATAAATATATTATATAATTACTTACATAGTTACATAGAGTACATATATAAATTCACGTTGCGTGATGAATTTTTATAGGGGTGGAGAGGGATTTTAGGATACAATGTTTCGAGTATCTCTATAATATACATATATTCTAAAAATGGTAACTAAAAAAATTTACAGAGCAGGCTAAACAAAATTCTGGAGATCTATAACCCCCTTGGCCCCCTCCCATTTTATGCCTTTATATATATATGAATAGAAAATATACCTTAAAGGATAAAATAATAAAAAAGTACGTCTGAGCCTATTATATGTTTTTACTATTAGGTATAATTATTTTGAGTATATACCGTATTATATGGTTGTAGTTAGTTAAGCTCTCGAAAAAGCCACAAAAAAAACAATACCTATATATATCTATAGGTACAATATGCAAAATAAACTATACGCATCTATATTATATACCGTGAATAAAAGTAAAAAATATCCTCTTTTTAATTGTTATTGTTTTATTTTTATCCACATTAAAATCTGTTGAATAATGTATTTCGTCGGTTGACCCTGTTATACGACGCAATTTCACGCAGTGGGTATGTTTAAAAAACGAGACTTTGACACTAATAAGCTCCGTGCACAATTATTATTCTATATAATTTTTTAGATTTCAGAGCATGCACCAAGTGCCTACCCACTTACACTGYAGCGTCATTTGGTATATTATACTATATCGTATGCCTGCCTGTATATACATTTTTTCTACACTTTTTAATAATGTTCGTTATAGATATTTCAAATAATCCTACAATTTATTGTACTATCATTCTCAACTTATGTGCACTACTGCATCCTTAATTTTGTATCTATATTAAAATTTGAACGAGCAGTGTTTGGGTTATTAAAATGTATATCGTATATGGTATACTAAAATAATATTAGTCCTTATTAATTATGGTTTTACAAAATATAAAATAGACATAATATTAGATCTAGCATCTAGACATCGAGTATTTATAACA